TTGCAGTATCAAAGAACGGTCTGTAAGAATGTTATGATAGAACACAGATGGACGATGAATTTTGCAGATCGTAGGTACAATCATCTCTTTTGTTGAATCATCTGAAGGGCCGGATGAGACCCTCTGGTGGGCCGGTTCTGGCCTGCGGGCTATACGTTTGACACCCCTGGTCTAACACCTCCAGAGTTATTAAGGGCATAGATAGAAGCAGTGTGGCAAAATCTGTATGACAAATTTTTGTTGTCTCTCAGTATATAATGTGATGTTGCCCAACTCTAACATCTAACAGTGAGCTCTAACTGTCCTGTCTATGAGAGATATAAATCAGACAGTTTACCCTCAGACTTGGGTCATTTTCTGGTTTTGCCAGTCCGGTGTGCAAGCTTAATCTGGTTTGATTTTCAAACTGACTGAACCACCATTTGTCATAATTAGGGAGGCACAATATTATTTGCATGTGATTGGTATCGGCAGACATTGGCTTTAAAATTAAATATCAGAATCCGCCAACATGCTGATAATATCGGTACATCCTCAGCATCGGCCAGTATCAGCTTTAAAAATGAACTATCAGACTCGGCCACCTTGCTTTTTTTTGTTGCACAATAAATGAACATTACATACACTGAAAAGTATTCGATTTCATGTCTCCACCTGCTGGTGGGCCATCATGATAAGAGCATGCATGCATAATATGATGTTGATTCTACTATAGAAGAGACTTGATGATCACTGAAATTAGGTAGGGAAATAGTCGATACATTGATATCAGGATCGGCTATTGGTCAAATGAGTTGTTGTATATTGGCATACTGGATAGCACCGCACCCACTTGATGCTACCATGCTGATGAGGTCATCACTGTCATCACTTTATTTTGTTTAATTATTTTTGAATCGACGTTGTAAATTCATTGAAAAATGTGTTTCTTTGGCTCTGATGCAGCTCCTCTGTCTGCAGACACCACTCTGTAGCCTCGCTCACTGTCCCGCCCACAGTACTATTTGATTGTATATAATACATATTCCGGGTGGGCGATATGGCCCTAAAGTAATATCACAATATTTCTGAGTATTTTTGCGATAACGATATTCTTGATGACGTGTCAAGTTAGAGAAAAAACTGTATTTTATTATTAAGAAAATAGAATTTCGACAAAATAAGTGATTAGTTTTGCCAGATTGCCTTCAAATATTCAGTAAAAACTAAACAAAACTGATCTCTCATTTCTTTAGTTTGTGAACAACAACAATAACTCAGAGTGAGATTCAGATTCTGTATACAATGTTGAAAGTTCAACAAAATAAAATCTACCACAAATTACACATTTAAACAGCCCCCAAATACAAAGAAATGTACCCTGGGATATATATA